AGGAATATACAATTGAACTCACAAAAATTAGAGATTTTAAAAAAGCATATGCAGCAAGCAAAATAGTAATTTATGAAATCGGATGAAAGAGTTAATATTCCAAAGTTCAGTTAATAGTGTGACGTCATGGATACTCACAGCGACCACAGACACAGAGCTTTCGTATAACAAATATATTTATTAACAAGAAAACAAACAAATATATACACTTAATAATCTACTTAACCCTAGCTCTGATAGACCTTCTATCCCTGATCGCGGGAGCGATCCAAAACCCGATTGAAGATGGTTTTGATTGTGGCATTCGCCACTCCTACTTTTGAAGCGCGCACAAAGCCTAGCTTCCGTGACCGGATGTCACGCTGGGACACAAAAGTCCGTTCTGGCGCCACCAACGGCTGGTTGCCTCGATCGCAGGAGCGATCTTATCCGATTGAGAATCGGCGTGAATCGTGGCACTCAAACCACCTCTTCACCTCGGAGCACGCACACAGCATCGCTCCCCCGTGACCGCAGTCACCCAAGGACATAAAGTCCGCAGGCTTCGTCAACTAATGACTCCAGCCTCGCGAAGCCTGGCTCGCATATGCACCGTCTTGGCGCAAAGTTTTTGTGCACCACGCACGAGGTTCTCCCACCGTCTCCAGAACTGCCTACTGGCTCGTACACTCTGTTATATAGGCGAGGCCCCGTGACCTCCTACGTCACGCCCCCCCTCGCTTGTTATAACAGTGAAAAGCTTCTATAAGCCGGAAGACACCCAAGCCTTGTGTCTCCCGTCTCCGCGTTCTTCCCTTTACGGAAAAACCCTACTTCCTGTGGCGAGACTAATCCGCAACCAAGCGTCCCCAAATAGATGCCACGAGGCACGCTGGCTAATACGTTACATACATCTCCATATCCCATTTAGAATTTTTTATGCAGGAGACATCCACAATAAAAAATTCGTTACGCTATTAAACTCGTGAACTTGGCAAAGGTATTAACTTAACCTGTCCTATGTTTTACATTCTAGCAAAACTCCCTAGTTTACATATTATTACATATATATACACCAATTTACATATACAAAAACTAAATTCCCTAAAACTCTAATTTTACCTAACTTACATTATGTTCAACACTTTTAAAATCTGCCTTACTATTTACAATTATATACAAATTTTATCTACACAGTCAATTATATTACACTTCGTCAATGCATTCACAACAAAACTATTTACAACACACCCTGAACTTTCTATGCTATCAGGCTTCACTAGACCCCCAATATTTGTACATAACACACAAAATACACAACATTCACAAACAATACACTTTTCAAAAACAAACTTGTTACATATATACAATAATTTTCCTTAGATTCGATACAATACAATCAAGTGATCCAACTCAGTGTAGCCCTCCGCATTCTCAGTTCAGTTCAGGTTCCAGTGTATCAATAAAACATTCTGCTTAAGCCATATGCGTTAACGTGAATTTTTCCCTTTCTTGTGAATAATTTCAAGATTGTAGGCCTGAATATAAAGTGACCATCGCATTAATCTAGGATTTTTACTTGAGCAATTGTTCAACCATACCAAAGGATTGTGGTCAGTTTCTACCTTGATTTTGGCGTTTCCGTCTAAGTAATATTTTAACTTTCTGCATGCCCAGATAATTGCCGTACACTCTAACTCGATCGTGCATCGCAATAACTCAGTATCTGTGAATTTTCGACTTAAGTATAACACCGGTTTTTTCTTTCTCCCCTGTCTTTAACTGTGCCAAAATAATGCCGATCCCTCTATTTGACGCATCACACTGCACGATAAAGTCCTTATTAAAATTGGCGCGTGAAGGACGGGTTCGTGACATAGAGCGTTTCTCAATTTCTCAAATGCCACCTCGCATTCTGGCGACCACTTCACCTTGCCCTGCCGTTCGCGACCTCGCAATAAGTCCGTTAATGGGTGCTGGAGATACTCGCATAATCGGGAATAAATTTTCTGTAATACCCCGTCAGCCCGAGAAAAGCACTACTTGTTTTTTTGTTTGTGGTATCGGATGCTCCTTAATTGTTTTCACCTTGGCCTCTACTGGCCACAAACTGCCATTACCAACAGGTACCCCAGGTATTGCACATTCTTCCGTGCATATTTACATCTGCTGGCTGGCACATGCAACTTCGCTTCTCTAATATTAAAACACCTGCTCCAAATGTCTAAGGTGTTCTTGCCCTGTGTCGCTATAGATGAATTTGAATAGAATGAATTTGTTACCCTCACGAATTTCGGGAAGAGGCCACACGTATCGATATTGATTTTGCCAAAGACTTCCGTTATCGGCCGGTACTAAAACTAACGGTGCCTTTTTTCGATCATTTGGCTGCCTACCTTTTGACCACCATCACAAGATGTCACATTTGTCTCCCATATCCTGGAAACAACGAGGCAATAAAAATATGCGACAAACTGCTTTGCTTTTAGTGCACCCTACGTGAGCATTCGCGGTTTCATGCACACTTTCCGAATGGCTGCCCGATATTTAGTGGGAACCACTAACATTTTAAAATTTCACCGCGCTTGCTGTGTCTGGACGATACGAAATACTGTTTTTAACGAAATACGGCCTCTCGCCCTGTTTCTGGTTCACAGTGCTCTATACGTGTCATATAATACTTTTAATCTCCCTGTCACTTTGTTGTGACGCGCGAACTCATTCTGGCTAACATTTATGAGTTCATTCACTTGGGGATTCAGTACACCTGCACTTGCATCCCTTTCACTAATAGCTTCTTAGGACTCCCTGTCTGTACTTTGTACCTGCTCGCTACCTGAAGTTTCCTGGCCGCTCGAGCTTACCACCTCCCCCTCACGCTCAACTGGCGCCGTTTCAGCGCCTTTTGACCGTGTAGTTACCGCTGCAACTACGTGTGACTCCAATAATCCTGCCTTTACTTCTTCCAATAACGGCGGCTGTTCGGATTACTTAATAAGTAATATCCTCTGTCACATTCTCGAGGTACGACAGCAGGCTTTCGTGACGACCTTTCCGAACGGTCCTTCTATCTCGACTTCTGCTACGGGAGATGCGAGCTGAGGCATCAGTGGCTGCAAAAATCACACGCTTTCTCCCGTCAATTCTTGTCGCTAATGAATTCTCGTTTATAATATCAAACGACGCGCCTGAGTCCCTCAAAAATGTCCCGGCTATACCGTTAATTCTGCTCACTCACGTGCGGTAAAAGCAATTCTCTAGCCGTTTTGTCGATCACATGATTAATCTCTTTCCGCCTCGCGGCGCTGCGGGCCATTCACGTATCATGATCGACCGATCCACAACTGTAAACATTTCCGCTTGTCTGGCTTCTCATAAGCGGCCTCTGACATCGGTTTTCTTACCGCCTGATTTCCCCTGAATTTCAAATGCTTCTGACATCGGCTTGCTCGCGCTCGCTACATGTTCCGCTGCAGCTTCCGGTTTCTGTACTGTTTAAATGTGGACCGTTTCCAGGCCTGCCCGTTCCCCCATCCATTTTCAGTACCCCCGCCCTTCCTCATGTTTCTATTGTCTAGGATGTTCCAATTGAGGATGGCGAAGCGACAATCTACAATGCAGCCTATTCTAAAAACCCTGATTATTTGCATAAGTTGACACATGAAACTAAATTCGTCCTTAAAAAGGGCCTGATGGTATGCATAAATTAAACGAGTTGATTTAGTGTAAGTTCATACTGCCAATTACTCTTCCTCTGATTAATTTTTCTGAGAAGTGCGCCGCCCTTGAGTCAATACTGAAGAGCCGCCACTGGTCGAAAATAAAAATAACTTCAGATGCATCATAGATTCTAGAACCTCCCGCTTATAAAGCTGCCGATACTTTTACAAAACTTCAGTTGTAGCCTGTAATTTTGAATTAACCTATCTTTAATTCTTAAAACTTGTTATAATATAAATGAACAATAGCTCCTTTCAAATGGAATATTTATGTAGATATTTTCGGTTTAAGAAAATTGTATCGTCTTGGGAGAGTGGTGGAATTTTTTCATTTTACCTCCCAAAGATATGAGCCTGTTGATTCACACTTTTTTTAAGAATAATAAATCTTCATTAACCCTAAAACTCAAAAATTTGTCAGCTTCGTAACAAACATAAATGCACGTTTTCATTGAAATTAGACTGAATAATTTTTAATCAGGTTTGGCTACAACATAGAGACATCGCATTAAATGTTTTGAAATGCTACAAATTAATACTTATATTTTCAGCCATGGGAAATCATGTATCGAAATGGTCTATTAAGTAAAACTAAAACTTAATCACACTTTTTACAGTATCATGAAAATAAACTGACAAAACTCGTAGACCATAGTTTCTGTGATATTTTGAACGTATATTTAAATTAGTTTGCACTATTATTAAAGTAAATATCGTATTTTGGTCCACATATATTTTTTTACGTATTAAATATCCTCGCTCAAATCTCACTGTTCAGACGCACATTATTTTCATTTAAATGCGTTCCACAAATACGTATAAGCCTGCTTGAATTGAAAATGGCTAAACTCAAAAATATTTGTAAAAGTATTGAAATATAATAAGTTAACTTGATAATAATCAATGCTACTATTTGAAATAAAATTTTATCTTCCATTGTAATGACAAAGTGTGTAGGAATGCATGCAGGTTCACCTCGTAAGTTGTAAGTGCAGAAAGTTGAAGATTCCACTGTGCCACAATTAATGATCAGAATAACAGTCAAAAGTAATCCGACACACTGTTTCATGTTTCACCCTTTAACAAGGCTGTTTAGATTTACACATTACACAATTTGCACATTATTTACCTACAATAATGCACCGAATTTCGTGTTATTTATTCTTAAACGCAAGTGAGTTTCTGAATATCTATAATATTCAACAATAATCACAACTATTATTGAACAAGTACTATACATTTAGGAGACGATCTAAAGAGTTCATCGAATATGTGGCAGATCAACAGATTTTCCAGCAACAATTTCAAGAGATTTTGAATTGAGAAAACACTAAAAATTTTTAAACAATGTATTTACACTCAAAAATGTTTAAATTAAAAAATGATATCATTACGGTCATCAAAAATTTCTTAAATAATACGAGACACTTCTTGTTGTTTGGGAGAATATTATTTCCCGAAAAGTGAAATTTCTGTTTTAGAAAAAGTACAGAAGTTTCGCGACACCCAACCAAATCACACGTGAATACGCAGGAATTATGCGATCACTGCCCCATTTGCATGAACTTTTTTTCGCTTTTAAACACAACAAATCTTCAGCCAAATTCTGGAGTTATATTTTTTCGCGACTGCTGTACTCTTACCGAGATTACAGGATAAATAAATGTCGTATTAAGATTTTCTGTCAAATGTTGGGAAAAACCGCTAGTATTCGTAGTACATAGAATGCTAGAGAAGATGGGGGTATAAACATCGCTACAGGGCCTATGAAGTTCAAGGGAGTCAATTAAACCCAATATATTCCATTTTTTAAATAAAAACTGAACGTTAGTGTATTTAAAAAATCTGTATTGTAAAATCAAGAGATTTTATCGTTTTAACAGAATTATACTGATAATTATCTAAATGTATTACTGTAACTTACTATTGCATATTCTCTTAATATTAACGAGGAGTAGAACATTCTATAGAATTTTATTCTACATAATTATGCATAAAATTTAACACACCTTTGAATCGGGATCCGGGTTTTCTCTTGCCAATAGACATCGGTGTTCAAATGGGGCGGCAACCAACAGCACGTTCTCGTCAGTCTGCAAAGAAAAGGAGCAAATTAAGGGAATTCATTAAATGTTATCAAAACCATTCAATTCTTTAAATTTCAAATACGGATGCCATCAATTAATGGAAAACATGTACCACGGACACGTTCGAAAGTAGTTTAGCTTTTTCACGAGCGTTGAAATCTCTATCCTGTCTGGATGAAACGGTTAGAAACTACGTATGAAAATATTTAGAATTCCCTTCGACTGAGTTTCTTTTTTCTTCATCGAAATCTGCTTTACTAGCTATCAGCACAAATGTGAAATGACTCAGCTATATGGGCAACAGCCGGAGTTAGATTTTAAAACAAGGAGCTACAGATGAGATGAGCTGAGTTCAGCGAATCCACCACAATAGCATTTTCAGCCTTGACACGTGATTGATGAATTTGCACTTTTTTGTGTTTCTCCTCCATTCCTTTTTATGATTCCTCGTTAATATTTTTCTTCTTCCTCATTTCTATATGATCTTCACAATAACACTCCTCCGCCGAATCTTCTCTTCATTTTCATCTTCTCTTTTTATTTCGGAAATTTTTGGGGGGAGTCTTCCTACTTTCTTTGGGAATATATCTTTTTGAGTGAATCTAATAGCTTTTGCATTCGCCTCTTCCTTCAGTTTTTCCAAAATTTCGTCTAAAAACAAGATTAACAAAGAAGTCACAGAATCAAATTAGTTTTATTAATACAATTTATACTGTTTAAGGACCACATGAGCAACTTTTACCACGGTGCCGGTAAAAGTAGACATAACCCAAACACACATAGCGGTTACTTCGTTTCATATTTGCCTTGTGGAGCGACACGATGCCGTCTGTCGATTTTTCGGTTTATCAAGAACCCACAAAATATGTACTCTGACTACACCAGTGTTAGATAAAGTAATTTACTACACAGAAGAACAAAATTTATCAACTTTTTCGTTATCAGGGCCCAAAAATACGAGTTTCTGTCCAAAAATCGCAGATTACCGCCCCAACATTACTAAAGTTTCTCTATACTACGAACGTATGTAGTAAGGCGAGAAAGTAAAATCAGAGATTTCGGAACCTCAAAATGGTCCTAGAGGTGCAACTATCATAGAGTTAAAAAGTACAATATACTCAACACATATTAAAGGTACTAGGTACATTAAAAATATACTTCAATAAAAAAAGCATGGGAATTTCTACAAGAATCAACAGTGAAGAACAAATCATCAAAACATTGATATACCTTAGTATGAATATTATCAACGCATTTAAAATGCAATGCAAATTGTCACAGCAGCTTAAAAAATGAACTGAGTATTCACTCAATCTTATTCTTTCTTCTCGCGAAGAGTGTTAATTTATTATATTTTAATTTGAAAATCTCATTTGACGATCATTGTAACTAATGAAATCACATATAAAATACAATAAGAAAAAACAACTTTGTACATTGAAAATCATCAGATTTTTCAGGAGCATCTACGAACACCTGCTCATTTATTTTATTCTACTTGTTCATTGTACAGATGAAATGTACATTTTAACTACGAAATCCTCGTGAACGTTTCTCAAAACAGCAAACAATTTTTGCAGATTAGTTTTTTAACAGGAAAAAAACCTCCACATCCTCAAATAATATGTGTCTCGGGACCAAAGTCACGTATTCATATCAAACTATCGTAGTAACAATGAACTGATTGCCTGGTGATTCCGAGCGCGACAACGGCTAAGGTTACCAGTTACGTAAGTCCAGTGCATATTCACACGTGCGAGGTAGCGATGACCTTTTTCCGCTGGCTGGCGAGATCCGGCGCCGACCTACGTCGGATCGCGGGGATTTTCACCGCGAGGTATCTCCCACCAGCGAGGTAACATCCCGGCCGGGACAAGCTCAATGCTTTCGACAAATGTGGAAGTGAAGTGAATATGAGGGTACGTGTGAATAAGTTACAGATGAGGAAAGGACAAGGAAGGAAAAGGAACGATAGTGCGCGTTCCGTGGCCCGTTTGTTAGGGTACTGCCAAGGAAAATCAAGGAAAACCAAGGAAAATCAGAGGCCAGAGGGTAAGGGAGAGGCCGAATGCAGCCAGCGGCGCCAATTATTGTGACCCACGAAAAGTTATTAGGAAAACGTGAATGTCACTTGCATCCATGACGGGCGAGAATATTGCGCCTAGCGCACGCGGCCTGGCGGGGTCAACAACTTCATGTAAAAATATGTTACGTTTACATTTAAGGAATAGTTTTCAAGTAAATTCAATATCATCCCAACCTTTCTAATTGCTTAATGAATGATAGGGCCTGATATCATATAATGAATAAAAGGGCCTGATATATATGGTTACACTCCTCCCACTTCCTGTACAGACGGGCAAATAGCGGAGATCAACAATACGGGGTCACGTGTGGATCCGCAACCATATTAAAGGTTTAAGTTGTAGCCCTATGATTTTAATGCTAGAGTGGGAAAATCTGAAAGCTCAAAAGTCATTGGACAACATGGAGAAGAGGTGGAATATTCAAATGGAAAAAAATATTAATTCAACTACGCATGTGGACAGCATGAACTTATAATTAGAAACTGCCACTTCCAGCATAAAGATAAGCATATGTTCACATGGGAAGATAAGTTAAGAGGAAGGAGATCAGTGATCGATTACGTAATCACTAGACAGTATTTAACTGGAAAAGTACTAGAAGTCACTGCACACAGAGGCCCAGAATGTAGATCCAACCATTACCTAGTGAAGACCAAAATTATTTTTTCACCCATAAAACAAAAAGAAACGGAGATCAGTGTACGAAAAGAAGAAAAAATGAAAATAGTGAAGGTAGGAAATATAATAGAGCGGGTGTATCACAACGAAGTATAAAATTTTTATTTCAAAACAGATTTGATAATTTACTGAATGTAAAGTTAGTTGATTCAATTAAGGAGGCATATGAACACCTCAAAGATTGTCTACATCAAGCAGCTAAAGAAGCGCATGGCGAAACACCTTTAAATAAGAAAAAAGAGGGAAGAGCTATTGGATTACTCAAGACCTGGCGCGGGAAATAGAGGAGAAGATGAGACTGTATGAAAAATGATCGAAAAAGAGTTAGAAACGTCATAAGAAAACAAAAACAACAATCATTTGAGGCTAAATGTCAAGAAGTAGAAATGTACATAGATGGAACAAAAACAAGTGAGATTTGAAAGTTCATAAATGAGGTAAAATTGAGAAAGTTGAGAAAGTCCGCATACAAAAAATATCTGTAACCAGATGGAAAGAGTACTTTGGGAAATTATTACATGAAGGAAATTCAGATTTTCTTGGAACTACAGAAAAGGAAAATATATCTCCGGCAAGGGAAATTACAGTAACCCAAGAGAGAGTTAAGAGATGTATCAAAGAAATGAAAGGCGGCAAAGCTCCGGGTCCAGGAAAAATCCCAAGCGAACTGATAAAGAATGGAACACCAAAGCTGTGAATGTTGACGAAGCTAATAAATATGTGTATAAATAAAGGCGATATACCAGAAGACAGAAAAATTGATTATATAACACCAATATATAAGAAAGGACGGAAAGACATGTGAAAATTATAGAGGGATAGTAGTGACAAACACGTTCAGAGAGAGAACTTCACATGGTCTTCCTTGATATAGCAAAGGTGTACGATAGTGTACCAGTAATAAAGTTATTGGAAGTTATGAATAAAAGTAATGTAAATAAAATCTTAATAAATGCAGTGAAGGAATTGTACACAGATCAAAAGGGAAAAGTGAAAGTTAGAAAACAGACGACCCAAACATTTCCTATATCAAAAAGACTACGGCAACGATGCGGTTTGTCACCTACCCTCTTTAACCTTTATGTTAATGCGGTGTTACAGGTATGGAAAAGAAAATGTGCTGGGATGGATATACCACTTGATGATAATACAACACTCTATACCCTACAGTTCGCTGATGATCAGGTGCTGATGGCGCAAGAACAAGAAGATATTGAGTATATGACTAGGAAGATAAAAAAAGATTATGAGAAATGAGGATTAAGCCTCAACCTAAAAAAACAGTATACTGAACTCTAGACAGTACACATGACGTATTGGCTATGGAAACTGGAGAAATAATAAGAACAACAGAGGAAATAAAGTACTTGGGAACAACAATACGAAAACAGGGCTTTTAATGGAAAGGAATGTGAAACCCGACTCATTAAAGGAAGACAAATTTTAGGGGCCCTGAATGCAGTTATCTGGAATAGAAATATAAGCAAGGAAACGAAAATCATAATACATAAATGTATGATTGAAATTGTCCGCAAACGACGGCTGAAATTCTATGGGCACATTATGAGACTAGATGACAACCGATTCACAAAGAAAATGTTTACTTACTTACAGAAACTGAAAACGACAACAGTCTGGGTAAAACAGGTCCAAATTGATCTAAAAACGCCAACATTTCACCGGGAGACATCAAAGATCGAAACATCTTCAGACACAAGATATGTACATATAAATAAAAAAAAATGTACCAGAAGATAAACCAAAGATACCAAGAGGAAAATGAACAGAAGAACGTCGAGCTAAGCATAGCGAGATGATGAAAAAAATCTGGAAGAAAAAGAAAAATAACAAGTCATGATTTGCTTTATGTGATCCTCTAAGGGTCTAAACAATGTAAATAAAAAAATAAATGATTGAAATTGATACATTGTATGGAGCAGGAATGTGACAGCTTTCAGAACAGAAAAGATATTTGAGAGCTTTGGAAATGGATTTCTTCAGAAGAGCTACAGCAATATCTAGAAGAGAAAGAATTAGGAACGAACAAGTTAAGGAAATAATGAATCTTCAACATGATGTTATAGACGAAATCTAAAGAAACAACTCACTTGGTTTGGACATGTACAGCAAATGGACGAGAGAAGGCTCCTCAGACGATCATTAGAATTGCAACCAAGTGAAAGGAGAAAACGAGGCAGACCAAGACCACGACGGAACGACCAGATCAGAAAGATAATCGAGAAGTGGAAATTACCTCCTGATTCTGGAAGAACAGGGAAGACTGCAGAAGAAGACTAGGCGCTGGAAGACCGAAGTCACGGTTAAGAAAACGACAAGAAGAAGACGAAGTTGTAGCTCTTGTGACCCTTGTGGCCTTGCAAGATAGACACCCCTGCTCTAGGACCTACCACAGAGACACTACAGTGACATCAGCTGCTACCCTGGCCACCTTTCCTGGTAGTAAAGATGAAATTAGTGCTTCTAAATTAGCACGTACTCTCTCGTCTATAGTAATATCTATTTAATACTATTTATACCACAATTTCTCTACAAAACAACATCTCAGCCAACATTTTTTGTGAAACACATTACAAATTGAATAACATTATTTTGTTGCAAAAACTAAATATCAACATAAAATTTTAAAATAATAATTGCATTTCTTACAGCAAAATCATGTAACAACAATGAGATGTAATTCACAGAAATTAATACGCCGAGTCCCGACGGGAAATTCCATTGTTGCATTCCAAACTGATATTCTTTGAAAGCAGACGATTTTACTTTCTCCCTAGGGAGTAGGGAGAAAGTTATGCAAGGCTGCGTGAAAAAACGGCGAATTTTTAGAAAAACATATTACAGGGCCATTGTGATGAAAAAGTGGATACATACAGTTGTTTAATTTTGGAGGAAATCCTCCAACAAATGGTGTAGCAGTAACCATGTTTTGTGGGTACTTGATACCGAAAAATCGAATGATGGCCAAACGTCTGTCCG